CTATAGCGGATATTTTAAAGACATTAAAGATTATATATATCTAAACGGTGAAAAATACCGTCCCCAAGATATATCACCAATTAACATTTTTAGCTTTGTTACACTCAAAAATGAGATCCTCGATTTTCTAGGATGGCCCTACTACATCTTAGAAAAATTGACTATTTTATACGCAATGTTTAACTTTATTGGATTTCTTTTCTCACTTTTAAAAGGAATCTACAACACATGTGCTATACACACACAAGTAAATAGACAAGCAAGCGTAGCACGCATACTCTTTGCAGGATTTTTTGGAATCTTTTCTACATCTATAAACAAAATTCTTTTAGACGCACAAATAAAAGAATATAACACAAAAATAGCAACACGACAAAATACATACGACGAAGAACATAACAATGTAGACATAACGCCAACGGCACCACAATTACCACCCCTACCAAATAACCATCCACTATCCCTAGTCCCACGAAATTTTCGAAATTTAGCCATCACACATAATCCAAATTTTCGACTCACCACATCACAAAGTCCCATCCAACATATAATGACACACCAGTCACAAGATCATAATACTTATGAACAAATTATTGAACAACCCCATACCACCGCTTTTCAGTCTCAAAATAATCATTTTTTTAGCCCACGATGAGCCGCCAACTTGGATCACTACACCGATCAAATTCCCACCCAACCAATCTTACCTCTCCAATCCCAATAATACCACTTTTTGCTTTTCCGCCACCCGATTTTCCATCTAGTAATGTAACATCAGGCATGAATTCCGACACTAATTCACACATCTCAGTTTTATATTCCATCTCACAACTCAATAACCCGAATATTGAAACCCCCGATGAATTTGCCGACTCAGAACCATCCCCATCCAATAATTTTCATAACTCTTCTAATTTTTCTCAACCCCCTTTTCAACCCATATTATCCAATAACCCTGACCCAATCACTTCCACACCCTCTTATGCTTCCCAAGTTACCCCAACCTACTCCTCATTTCATTCTGACCAATCATCTCATTCTCCAGACACCCCCCGAATCTCCCCAGAGCTAGATAATTTTATTACCCTTCAACAACAACCCTACCACCTCCATACCCCAACAATAAACCAAATCTCCTCCACAATAAATTCATCCAACCCCCCTACCCCTACACCCTCTTCAAATTATACTGAATCATTAGCACCATCATCCACATCAACTGAATCTTCACTCAACACTAATAGAGCTTACCGCACTTTTAAAAGAAAATTCCCCAACCATCCTTTCCCAGCAAAACCAGGAACAGCCCGTGAATACATCAACCACCCCAAGCATACTAACACAAAAGAATTTTTAGCCATCACCTTACCCTCATTCCCACAATACACCTTAAACACCCCCCACGACACTAACGAAACACGCAACTTTGTAGATGAATACGTTTTAATGCCCACTCTCTCTTGGACCTCATATTATCATTTTACTAACCCTCTTTGCTTACCTTTATCTAACACTCACATCGATATAGAGCGAAATACGGACATGCTATATCGACTCACTACACCACTAACCGCTAGACAATTTACTTACGTTGGATATAAAAAATCACTAAAAACACACACTGCACCTAGAGCTAACGAATATACACTCGAATACTATGATCACAACATCATCAGAGCTAACCAAGATCAATTCTTAGACGACGATCGCTTCGCTAATCCACAAATTACCGAGAAATTTTTCATCAAGACACCATATATATTTACACTAAACATCTTCGACCGAAAGTTTGATCACATTATTTCAGAAGCACTAACAGACACACAAGCATACGAAAGTTTTAAAGAACGCTTCCAAATATTTTCACTAACCTTTCATTTCCTTGCACCACACGAAAGAGATTTACACTGCTCACACGATATTATGTTGCGCACTAAACAAACCCACACATATAGTTATTATCGCTTCATCCAAAATCACTTTGACCTACACACACCCTCTAGACAACCACACCATCGTTTTCAATTCATTAATTCCAAATACACTTCACCATTTTTCCTAAATTTCACATATTGCATTAAAGATACTAACCTTCATGGTATTCTTCGCAATTATGATCCCATAACCCAAATGTACATCTTCTGTCCCATCACCAAGACCTTCAACGCCGAAGAATCCCGACCCTTCCTTATACCGCACGAGTTTGTACAACCTATAGAAATCCCAATTTTAGAATTCATCCACAACACTAAATTCAATCACAAATTATATAATCTAATCCAAAACACACCTTATGAGTTTGCAGTTGGCACTGAAGAACTAACCACTATTAAGGCACTTCAATTGCTTTGGCCACTGCTTCAGACTAAAAATATCATCCGCATCTTAGCTAAACTACTAACAAATTCCGATCTCATCCACGACATCTTCCCCCACGGTTTTTTCCCCGACGACTAACAGGTAAGTATGAATTAAATGAATATTACTAACTAATTAAAATATTAAAAAACTCACCATACTTTATCCATGTTTTCTTTAGATTTTTAGCCTTCATCCGACAATTACCTACAAAAACCACAAAAGACAAATAAAAATCGCAAATTTCATCAAACAGATTTCAAAAATTCTATTAATCTCTTACACTTATAAATTTATAAATTTAATACCAATGCAGTAAATTCATTTCTAAAATTTTCCCCACAAGCAGTAAATCTACTTATGATGAAAATTTGTAACTTAAAATTCCCCCATAACTAGCAGTAAATTTCCAAATTCTATGCAGTAAATTAATAAAATGCAAATGCAGTACTAACCTTTTGATATTCTCATTCATTCGCACAGAAATTCTATCCACACTCGCACAGCTCGCCCACGAAGAATTGTTTAAAATAATGAATTTCAGTTTCAAGTTTTCACACTCAACAACTCTAACATATAATAACATGTTTCAAACCTTCCTTTAACCCGGTTGGAAAGGAATCATATACTAAACAAAACTAACCAACGCAACTTACTAAATACCACAAATCATAGAATAACAGCATGACTAAGAAAAGGAAACCAACGGTACCCAAACCGGATTAACCCAGTTTAAAACTGGATAATTTATTCTTTTGAAGACTATTATAAAGTCTAAGAAAGAAATAATAAAACACAAAAAAGTCGAAAGACAAACCCATACCACGAACAATTTGCTTTTTGGAAAAAGGACATAACCAACAAGACATAAGAAAAACCACAACAAACCCAACATAAAACGTTGTCACATAACAGGACCCCTCATAAAAACCGCATGAAATCATACTCCCACTCCTGGCCTAACCCACCAGGAAGGACGTCCTGAGCATGCTCTATAGCCGGCCTAACCCACCGCGCTACATCCACGCTTTGTGACCACACCTCTATTTTTAATAAGAGCTACTCAAGGGTGAGTAACTCTTCAAAATAACCGAACTAAAACAAAAAGCTTTTGTGAAAACAACTAACTAAAATCATAATTAAAAAATATTAAACTAATAAATGTTTTATAAAATGTAAATTACATTATGCAATACATAGATCAGAATATAACACCAAGGACGAACATCTAAAGACAAAACGACCCCACTACACTCGAGAGAGAATGGCCAACCACAATCGATATGCCACTCACAATCACAACTCAAAGGATTTAGAGTACGACTTGACTTCGCAGAAAAGGACTTCATTGAACTAGAACAATGACCACCTCGATGTTCAAGTATACGTACAGATCCGAGTAACCAGGCATCCCCTCCACGCACAATCTCCACGCCATTCCCAAACTAGATCAGACACAAAAGAAGTTCTCCACGCAGAACAGAAAAACCTGACATAGCCAACCATTCTGAAATCAGATTTGAGTTTGTTGCAAAGACTTAGTCGTTGTCACTAGAAGACACAACGTCTTATGTCTCTAACTCCAGCTTCCTGGAACTTCTTTAACAAAGAGGAAACGGAAGAAAATGATGTTCGCCAAAAACCAACGTCCATCATCCATCCTTCGAATCGCAGAAGAACTATTCTAAAAAACTCTGTAAAACCCGGATGGGTGGAACCTGATCTAAACTACATTTTATGATTGGATAAATTAGATATTTTACCAATGTAAAGTATTTAATATTAACCAATCATGATCCATCTAACTAACAACCCACTTATTTGTAAGTGCTGAAGTTACTTGTAATTTCAGCACCAGAGAGATTTGAATTTAACTTAGAAATTAGTTGGACTCTCCCGAGCACTTCAGCAGCCGCGATAAACCAGTATACCCTAGATCTATTGAGCCTAGCAGAGACTAGTTAAACAACCTGAGACTAGATAGTATAAGAGTAAGATTAGGATCGGTATTAGACTAAGAAGTTGCACGAATCTATCCGGCCGAAAATAAGATAGCGTGACGAGCAGACGGTGTACCCTATCCGAAATTACTCTATGAGTTATACACTCCAGTCCTAACTCAGTATTTTGGTAAGAATTATTTGAAGTAATAAACTAATGGCTATGGATATTCTGTTTTATTACTTGTAACGAACTCCAATTTTTTCGTTTGCAAAATTTTGGAAAAGTAGTCAAAAATGGGGAGGAGAAAAACCAGACCTTTTTTGAAGAAAAACTTGTGCCAGAAAAAAGTTTTGAAAGAGGTGTTTTTGATGGCTCTGTTTACATTCACCTCGTCTCACAAAAAAGAGCTTTTTTAATATAATTATTTTAAAAAAATATGCCTAAAAAATTTTTGATTAATACAAAAAAAAGTGTGCCAAAGTTTTTTTTAGAAAAAGTGCCTTTGTTACGGCTCTTTTTTATTTTCCCTCACCTCACGAAACAAAAAGCTTTTTTTATTAAGACATTTCAACAAAGATGAGTGAAAAGAAAAAAATTATTTCTAGTAATTGTTCATCGTTTAGGCCAGCAGGAGACGATGCTGGGTCTGAATAAAAAGGCCTACTATGAGAGGGTGGGTCCAAAAGGAGTGGGAGGGGGGAAGATAAGGGGGGCGTTCTTTGAGGAGAACAGAGAGTATGGCAAAGCAGACAAGTTCACCACGCTGTCCAGACTTAAAACAAGTGGGTATATAAAAAGCCGTGTTTTCGTGTCTTAAAAATGTTCTGAAAAGTTAGCTGGTCAAGTAAGCAACTTTTACCCTAAAACTATAGACATATCCTTTTCCCCGATAAAACAATCAGCAACAAATTACTCACCTGAATGGCTGAGAAATAATGCTCATAACGAAGTTAATGACGCCCCCCTACTTTGGTTATATCGCGGAAATTAATCATTTGCCCCTGTGTGCATCTTTTATTAAGTAAAATTGCGCTTTTGGTTTTTCTCGGCACTAATGCAATGTGTGTCATTCTTAATCATATGAAAATGAAAACTGAAGTCGTATTCACTAGTTCAGTTGGAATTAGATGTTTCTTACTGTACCTTTTTTGATTGACCACAGTTTTCTCAAGATTTTTCGGATAAAAAAAGCACTTTAAAAAACCTCTTTTCACTAACAGTTTATGGTTCGGAGGCAGTTTTTATTTAAAAAATTAGAAAAAAGAGTTCTTAAGGCACGTTTTTGGCCCATCATCGACCTCCTTTTTGGCTTCTGAAAAATCAGTTTCGTTCTAATGTCATGAGTTCTCAAAGCTCTCTGTTGTTGAATATACACTAAAAATCTTTTATGATATAACTTTCGTTCACAGGAAAGAACTCAAACTGTCGTGAAATCTTAATCGGAGTAGATCAGAAAAAGAAAACAGCTGAACAAGAAGAGAGAATAGCTCACAAGTGTGGATACATGTTACGCATGCCCTACTACCCAGATGCAGAGTCCCCTTTCAACCAGACGCAATACTTCATTCAGAAGGGCAAAAATCGGGTGGCTGGAATTGCGAATTTCTACCTCAAATACAACGTCACACAACCCGTTCATAAGCCGCCTGCACCCGTTATGATCATTTAAACAATTGATTAAATTATTGAAATTAAAAAAAAAACTTTGTCAAAATGGGGAAATTTGTCAAATGGGGTTTGTCAAAATGGGGCTCGGGAAATCAGTTTGGGCGACCTAAAAAATTTAAAAAAAAAGAAAGTACCCCCCCCCCCCACTTGAGAAAATCTTAGATCCTGGGGGGGGGATAATTATACTGTTGCTGGCAGGGGTGGATTTAGGGGGGGGGGCTTGGGGGGCGAACGCCCGCTCTCCCTCAGGAATTCGACCCCTTGCCGACCCAAAGGGTTCCACCTTTGGTACTTTTTAAGAAATCCATTTTTGGCCGACCGACCCTAAAATTTTTTTAAAGGCGCCTTTGGCGCCAATATATACTAATTTTGAGGGGGGAGCGCCTTTTCTGGCCTATTTTTTTGCCTTTTTTGGCCTATTTTTTCAAAATTTTACCTGCGCTTTTTTGGCCTAATTTTGGCCTATTTTTTCAAAATTTTGCCTGCTTTTGGCCTATTTTTTCAAAATTTTGGGAGAGCTCGAAAAATTAATTTGAACGAACTAAAAAAAAACGACAAAATTTTTTGAAAATCCCCCACCTCGAGAAAATCCTAGATCCGCCCCTGGTTGCTGGGTAGATTTTCCAATTTGATTAAAAATTCGTTTTTGCATAACTGTTGAAATAGCTCCTAAAAGGATTGAAATTTCTTTACAAGGTGCCGTAGTTGGAAAAAACAGTTGAAATACCAAGATTCTTTAAAACTGATCTTAAAAGGTTGAGCATACCAATTGACGAACCAACTATTCAAAAAATCATTTTTTTTGTGCTGAAAACGGAAATAGATTATCAAAATGGTTCGAATGACAACAAAATGTGAGTTTTATCAGTTTTATCGGGGGCGTTCAACAATGCCGAAGTACAACAGTGCCGAAGTACAACAGTGCCGAAAAAGGCTGGAAAATTTCAGAATACTTTAAACGCGTTTTCTTAAGAGCGGGAATTAATCGCCGTTTAATTTTTGATTGCCGCACTTAATATGTGGAAATTTGTTCAGATTTTCGGCACTGTTGAACTAATTTTTCTTTTTCGGCACTGTTGTACTTCGGCACTGTTGTATTGTCCCGTTTTATTTACTAAGCACAACCTTATGATTTATGAATATGTGAACTTTGAGTTCAACTCAAGATTTATGATAAAAAATTGCGCGATTTTCATTGATTAAAATGTTCGGTTTCAAATCTAAAATGAAATAAATGATCATCAACAGCCGGCAAGAAAACCAAAACAAACGAGAGATAATCGCGTCTTCGAATTATTGTCTGCCAAAAAACGCAAGTTATCTGTTTGACTTGTATTTTTCACAGACACATCACGCGCCCCTTTAAAGGATGAGGAATTGATGCCCCTAATCATGGACCTTTTGGTTATCTATGAAAACATTATAATATATTCGGATCAAAGATATCAGAAAGGAAATTGAGCATTTTGATCGGCCGCTCAGTAATCTGCACAAAGAATCTTCACTTGCTTCTTTCAACTGGAGTTTTTGATCTTGAATTAAAAATCAATTTAAAACTTTGTTTCAAAATCTTAATTAATTTGCATTTCTAATTTAAAACTTTGTACCAAATATATTTTTGCCCGCTATGAAGTCTTTTGGATAAAAATTGGTTATGTTGGTTGTTTCGGTAAATAAAATTCTATGAAAAAAAAAGATTATCGTTCATTGAAATGGATTATTTTTTTGTGCTTACCAAAACTAGATCTAAAAAGTTATAGCCCGAACTTTCAAAAAAGGAGATTAATTGTGCGTGGGAGTTTTTGTTCTCATAAAGATTCAACTTTTAACTAGCCATTTTTTTGAATTAATTTGATGCCATTTGACAAAAATAACAATTAACTTTT